AGGCTCTTCCCTGTTCCTGACTTCCTCCCCGCACTGCTCAGACTCAGGGCATAGGGGGCGGGAGCTTCAAACCGCTTTGTTCCCAGTAGTGTGGTCACAGGATCCTGGTACTCCTTTACTGGCTTGGGTCATTTGTTAACACTTTTCCCTGGGGAAATAATGACATCGTAGCATCCAGTGGATGCTGGATGCTAGCTGCTGGATTCTCTGGGTCGGGCTTCTCTGTACATTCCAGACTGGATTGCCTCAGATCCCCTTTCTAGCTATGTGACTTGGAAGAATCACCTACCCTCTCAGTGCCTCAGTTTCCTTACTTGTATAAAGGGCCTTTGATAACACTCTTCTCCCCCTCCTACAGTGTTGAGAGCATCAAGTGGGGTGATAGACTTCCAGTGCTTTGTTTAGTGTGTGGTACAGAGGAAGCATTCAATAACTGCTGGTGAATTTAAATCCCAGTAGCAATATTTATTATGGATGGTATTGTTGCACCCATCTTAGAGATGAGAAAACTGAGATCCAAAGGTGAAGAGGTTGAGTGACTTGATCATGGCCACAGAGCTGGTAAGCGTCAGAGCTGGAGCTTGAACCCAGCTCTCCTTAATCGGAGTCTGTTCTGCACGTTGTGTTTCTCAGCCTGTATAATAGCACCAGGCAAAACCAGTCACAAAATGGGCCCTGCCTGATGACTGAGATATATTATCTTGATATTTGGGTTCTGTGCGCTACAGTTAATTAGTAGCTTACAAAGCCATTCTTTAATGCAAGAATGATCTCAGCCTCAGTTTCCTCACCTGTAAGATGAGGCATTTGGACCAAGGTGATCGCTGCGATTCAAGACTCCAGCCCAGGCAGCACGGAAGTGCAGGTTAGGGTTTCTAGGCCCACCGGGTGCGTGCCTTTGAGAATTCATTTCTTTCTCGGTTTTGTTAGCTGTGTGAGGAGGATGTTTCCCCCAGGAGAGTAGTTAGAAGATTAGACAAATGTGAGGGAAGCCCATCACACATAGTAGGTGCTGAAACCATGACAGCTGTCCCTAACATTTCTGTGACTTGCCCATGTTCCTGGATGTGAGCCCCCTTACTTCCCCCTCCAACTCCAGAGAAAAGGCATTTACCATGTTTTATTAATGCTTCTTACTTCTAAGGTGAGAACTGCTATAACACCATGGCTAAAATCCCAGAGCTTGATATAAAAACAGTCTGGGTATAAATCTCCACTTCAACTCAGTAGCTGTGTGCCTTTCAGCAGGTTGCTTAACCTCTCTGTGCCTTAGTTTCCTATCCATAAAGTAAACGTGTGTTAATATGTTAATTTGCATGAAATGCCCAGAACATACCATGGTCCTAATTAAGTTTTCAGAGCACGTTAGTGCTGTTTATCACACTTACGTCCGTATGCGGGGCAGCCCTCTGTTCTCGTAACTAGTGAGGGAAACTCAAGCATGGAGAAGGGTTCAGTCTGTTTTCCGCGTCCTGCAGTAGTGGTTGGCTGGGATTCATCATTCTGGTCTCTCTCCGGTCCCTCTTAATAAGCACTCAGCATTCACTGTCTTTCCACTGGGCTCATTCCCAGGATTTAAAAAACATTCAAAGCTTGGAAAAGTTAACCTAAGGGAAAACAATAGCAGGGGAAATTTTGCCTGCCTCTTTGTCCTACATGTCCACATCTGTTTGGAAGTAGAAGTGGTCACCCCCACTTCCTGTCTGTGTGTCTTTGTCTCCAAGGGCTCAGGCAGCGGAGCAGCTGCCTTTAAAGGCTTTTGCAGGAGCGGTGGAAGGGGTGTGCCCTGGATTTCATTCAGTCTGGTTTGTTGGGTGAAAGGGGGGTACCCATTCTTGTGTCCACTCCTCTTACTCAGTTCGGGGGTGCTTCCGCCCAGAAGGAAGTTGTTTTCCTAATGGGTTGGCTTCTGGGGCTTAATCTCTTAAATCTACCTTTTAGTTGGAAAATCTTGGTAAAAAGGGGGAGAGATGACACATGTAAATATGTCTCTGGCTATGCTGACTTGAAGACTGTGCTGTCCAAGGATATGGCAGATATGTTTCCAGGAAGAAGAAGTGGGATCGGAGCCCAAGTGTCATTAGGATGAGGGGAGGAAAGAAAGATGGCTACACCCTCAGGCACAGACATTTCTGTGGCCGCCTGGATGATGGGTGCTGTGGTTCTTCCTCTGATGCATTCCCTCATGTGAAGCTCATGAGCTGGGGAGCCCTCGCCCTTCTGGGTGACTAGCATAGGCCTAGGAAGTAGTTTCTTCGTGGTTCTAGAAAACAGACCAATGTGCATCTACATAGGAAAGTTGTAGAAGGGGTGAAATTAAGTGATGGCTCTGGTTGGGCCATCAGAGTTGGGGGGGAGCTGAGACAGGAAGCGGTGCTCAGGGAGATCCCCTTGCCATCAGGCTGCGAGCCTGGAGCCACTGGGTGGTCCTGATGCCTTCTCCGGCTCCTGCTCATGGGCCTGGAGCTATCGGTCTCCCCTGTGGTGTCCCTGTCTCCTCTTGGTTGGTACACTCCAGCTCAGGATCTCCTGTAGGCAGCCTCTGAGGTAGGCAAGGTCTTGTCAACTCGTATCTTTTCTGGGGTTTTATGTCAGTCTTACCTTAGAGTATTCCATCCGGGATTGCCTTGTAATGTTGTCTCCAGTCCTGCGCTATTCTGGTATTTAAGGTTTGAGTATCAGTGGGGTCACTGTGCGCCATTCACTGTTGAGTGAGCTGCTTTTCCCTGTTGGGGAGTGTGTGGCCTCGTCTGCGTGTCTGACATGAGAGGAAACAGGGAGCTAAGGACTTCTTGGACCTTGACTGTAACTTTGGACTTAAGTAAGCAGGGGCTTCCATCATCACTCTTGAAACACTAAATGCGCAAGTCAAACCTCTGACTCACCAGCATCAGTATCATTTGAGACACCTGGTACAAAATGTAGATTCCCAGACGGGTCTTGTAAGGCTACTTGAGGGACTCAGCTTTGTAATGAACCCGACTGTTATTCAAGTGTGAGAGCCACCCAGGCACCCCTGGGAACTTTCACAGATGTCGCTGGAGGTATTAATGCACAAGTGAGCATTGCCTTTTCCAGTCGCCCTTGGGGAAATCTTCTGCTTCTCTGCTTTAGTTCTGAATCTCCTCTTATACAGCTGCCCTTAGACTGGTGCCACATTCTTCTGAATACCTTCCATGGTGATAGGACTTGCTGATTTGGTGTTTAAACAGCTAAGTCATTCAGGACCACAGCTGATAAGGAGGCTCATCCAGCTGGTTACTGCCATTGTAATGGGAAAGAAACCAGCCAGCAAGGGGAGGGGTTTTCTCCTGTCTCATGAGCTGCCTCTGAAGATGGTTCCCAGAGAGGAGACCCCAGGATGTGCTGAGCTCTTGCAATCTGGTTGCAGCAAGTGTGTAGAGCATCTCCGGTCGTTTTGAAAGACTGTGTTCATTTGGGTGAATTGTTTTTATAAAAGAAAAGTGTCTTCTAGCCAAGCCTATCCCCATTAGAAAGTCCCTTTCCAAAAAGTGGCATTGCATTACAGGTGGAGATTTCCAAAGGTGTGACCACTATCGGTCAATAGTCACCAAACCCCACCCTTCCTACCACTGTGTATTAGGTCAGTTGTGAATTTGTGAGATAATTAGTCCCTTCTGATATTGTTTCCTGAGGTGTTATAATCAGTAAGGAAGTAACTTCAATACTGTTCTCCTGGTTGTTGGAATGTTGAAAACAACTTACTAATTGTAGAATGCTGAATAAAGGCTAGATATGGCAGGCAGAAAACCTGGTCTCCAAAGCCTGGCCTTGCTACTCACCAGCTGTATGTCCTTGGGCACATCATTTAGTCCCCAAGCCTGGCAAAGATAGTCACAGAGTCATCATGAGGATTTAAGAGACACTGGTGCCCGATGCTACCCAAACATAGTTCCTGCCTCATAGAGTGCTCTGTAATCAATGTTGCTTGCATCTGAATCCCACCAGCTTGATTCATTAAACACTTATTGTACTTTTCTGTGTGCTTTGGGCCAAGGGAGGGGAGGAGATGGAAGAAAGGAAGGGAGACGGTAAGCAAAAGTATTAAACTCTGCTTTGTGGAGGAAATGAAATTCAGTAAAAGAACATCAAAGAAAATGAATCGATTGACTCTAAGCAAGTCCAATGTGTTGCCAGAGAGATGGGGATGGGAGGCCAAGGGTTCTTTCTGCAGTGGAGGATGTGAGGGGGTCCTCTGGCAAAGATGAGTCATCATTATAGGCTATTCTTCCCTGTTTAAAAAGCCACCACTCTGGGGCGCCTGGGTGGCTCAGTCAGTTGGGCGTCCAACTTCGGCTCAGGTCACGATCTCTCAGCTCGTGGGTTCGAGCCCCACATTGGGCTCCGTGCTGACAGCTCAGAGCCTGGAGTCTGCTTCGGATTCTGTGTCTCCCTCTCTGCCCCTCCCCTGCTCACACTCTGTGTCTCCCTCCCTCTCTCTCTCAGAAATAAACATTTTTTTTTAATTTTTTTTTCAACGTTTTTTATTTATTTTTGGGACAGAGAGAGACAGAGCATGAACGGGGGAGGGGCAGAGAGAGAGGGAGACACAGAATCGGAAACAGGCTCCAGGCTCCGAGCCATCAGCCCAGAGCCTGATGCGGGGCTCAAACTCACGGACCGCGAGATCGTGACCTGGCTGAAGTCGGCCGCTTAACCGACTGCGCCACCCAGGCGCCCCTCAGAAATAAACATTAAAAAAAACAGAAAACAAACAAACAAAAAACCTAAAAAGCCACCACTTTAAAGGTGGCTTCCAGCAATTGCAAATCAATTATAACCCACAATCAGACCTCCAATTTTTTTTTAAGTCGTCAGAATCTCTAAGTATAGATATAAATCCTCCTTCTTTGAGGTCAGGAGTTCAGTAACATCATTCAACTAGTGAGTCTAAATGAAACTAACTTGAACTAATTATCAATCAGCCCTCTGATAGCAAACTGCTGTCCTCATAAGGGATTATTTGTTATTTTTTCCAGGCAATTTCTTTCCTCACACCCCTGGCTGTTATTTGTGTGGTGAAAATTATCCGGCGAACAGACAAGACTGAAATTAAGGAAGCCTTCTTAGGTAGAGTATTCACAGTTCTTGCTCTAGGGGATGGGGCTGAACTTAATTAGATCAGTAGATTTAAAAAATCTCTGTTGGACCCAGCTGATTTTTCTCTTGGTCAAATTAAACTTGGGAGAAACAAGAGAAGGTAAACTTTTAGCCCTAAGAAGAGCCAATTCGCAGATGGTAAAAAACACCTTACCTTCAGTGGCTGCCTGGCTGCTGTCCATTGTGCTGAATGTGAATGTCCGTCTGTACATCCCAGATCTGTGCTACTCAGGCACAGGAGCAGGGTAGCTCTTAGTGGTAAGGCAAAGATGATCTGAAACTGTCACTATTGACTGCCAAATCCCACATTTGTGACTAATAAATTACAGGCAATTCAGAAATCAGGCACAGATTTCTTGACCTGTCACCATTGGCTGGAGGCACAAATGGGCAAAAGCAGATGTAAAATATAACAATTCGGAAATAAACTCTATAACTCATCTTTTTGGGGACATTTCTAAAATTAAGCAATTTTTATTGTATAGAGAGTGTTGTAGTCTTTGCCATTGATTATAAGACCGTTGTAACAAATTCTCCCCAAGCTAAGCTGTATCTGCATGTGATGCAAGTTTGACATTTTTAAGATTAAACCCATTTTTATGATCTGCATATTAGTTAAAGGACTGAGTAAATGACAATACTAAGAGAAAGCAAAGGTAATTGGCTTGCTGAGTAACCCAAATAATACCCAGTAGCCAGGTTTTCAGCTTTCTGATCCTTAGGAAAACTGAATTATGTTTATTTTTTGACACCTCATAAAAGCTATCCAGACTCTTACATAAACTGTTTTTGATGTGTTGTATGGACTTTATTATTCAGTTAGATAATATATCTGGAAAAATGAGATATTGCCCCTCTGAGGGTATGTTTGTAAATTATTAGGCTTTGAGGAAATGAAAAGGTAGCAAAACATGGTCTTCTCTTTTTTTGGTACAAGAACGAGCGTAAGGGCAAAATCTTGGCTAGGCAGAACAGTTAAGGGGCTTCTTTGTGCTCTGACACAGGACAGGGAACATTTCTTACATAACCAGGCTTGGGTTAGGCTCTAATTGAACAGAACAGAATCTCTCTCCAATTAGCTCACATAAATTAGGGGTTTAGTTACAGGGTTATATCAGCAATCTCACAGATAGCCACGAATAGGGGGAAAAGGGACAGAGGAGCAGTATGGGAACTAGAATAGGGAGCCGGGCCATCGGGACGGGGATAGAGACATGCTTCTCTCTGTAATGTGCCTTCCCTCTACTTCTCAGGTGTCCTGCCTAATCCTCCAGTGGGCCCATCATTTCTGCTGCCCCATACTTTTGATTTCTATGGGGTTCGAGCTTGCAGCGGTAGGCTCCCGCCCCACACCCATAGGACTGTCACCTCCAATGCCCACCTCCAAGTACCTCTGCATCTAATGGACCAGACTTCCTGGGCAGACCCTCTGGCTCAGCCCATTTTTCATACCCGGACACAAAAGTCATGAGTCCCTGGCCAGCCTATAGGTGCCCTATCTCAGGTCAAGTGTTTACCTGGCTGCTTATCTGTGGTTTGGGGATTTGGCAGTCACATGATCTCAGTCCCCTCAGCTGATGTGGCAGAAAAGTCAGTTTTTCCAAGGAGGGCATAGTGCCCTCCACATGGGGGTGGAGCAGCCAGGGCAGTGTTTGGATAAATATTCCCATGGTCCCTGAAACGTCCTACTGGGAGTCGTCTCAGTTGACCTGGCAATCCTTTGCCTTACTTTTTATTCTAGTTGCTCCCCTGGAACCGAGTCCCAAGGTAATATGACTGTGGGTAAGACCTGTCTCTCATGGTTATGGTTATAATTTACTGCCAGCTTTTGGAGTTCTGTGTTGTTATGGCAGTAAGTTACTTCTCTAGACCTTTTCATTTTCTGCTAAATCTCCCTTAGAGTGACATTTAGAAATTGCACACCATATCCTGCCTCCTATATGTTAACACAGAAGGTGGAGTTATTGGATGTTCTGTTTGCCTAAATAAATGAGAGCTTGCCCTGTAAAAATTATAAAGAGCCTCCTGTTGTACACAGGTGGTTTTTTTTTTTTTTTTTAAATAACTTCTTTTAGGAAGCCTTGGAAGTAGGGGGCTGGAAGAGTAATCTTTAAAAACCAAGGACAGAAAATCACGTGTAGTGTTTCCAGTGTTATCTGGAGTTCAGGACTTTCTCAGTGAGAGTGGTTTAGTGTTCAGGTCCCTTCTTTAGCAGACCTGAATCCCAAGTCCTTCCTTTATCTGCATGTCCACAGTGGCCACCTTTGTGCGTGTGCCGTGGAACAAGATGGGTGAGGGTTGCCCCCATGCAGCATCCGGCTTTTAGGGGTTTGGCTGCAGAACAGCCGATTGGTATAACAGAGACCCCTGTTATGGAAATACAACAGTGCTGAATTCCCAACAAGCAAAGTAACAGCAAAAGCCCTCTAATCCTTTGGGATGCATATAAGCAGTATTGTTCTCAATACAGGCCTCTCAGAGGCTAACTCACTGGACACTTCACTTTGAATTTCTTTATCGGACATAGTCTGGTTTGTCTTTGGTTTTGTTTGTGTAATTCTCTCAAACCCACTGTGCTGTGGGATGTTGTAAACACAGCCCTTATGAAACAGACCCACTGGGTTATTGTTAGTCAACAAACATCCCTGATTGGGGCCATTCATTTCCTGCTCAGCCAGCCTTTCATGCATCTGATCTGGGCCCAGCCTGCCCTTTGGTATCAGTGAGAGGCCCCCATATTGGTCCCCCAGGGGTTGTACTATTCAGACAAAAATAATCAGTTCAGTTTACTTCCAGAATGCTGAGATGACTTTCACCCTAAATAGCACCAGTTAGGAGCCCGATTGTCTTCTGTCTCCTTCAGGTTTTTAGATCAGAGAGTGAAGTTGCCAGCTGTTGGTGGTTACATCGCATCTACACATTTTCTAGTTCAGCTACTTGAAACTTTTCAAAGAACTGCCCTGTGTTACAATAAACCCAGCCGGTGCTGAGGCTGGGGACATGTATGGTGTTCTGGATCCATGTAGCGGTCTATGAAATTCCCTAAGGGCGTTGGGAGATCAGCTAGCAATGCTTGTTTCTGGAGACCTCCTCGGTGCTGAGGCCATGCTAGGACCCGAATAAAAAGGAGTCTGACCCAGCTGGGAAAACCCAGCAGTGAGTCTGCCAAACCAGCTCTAGCAGGAAAAGATCCCAGTCCTGCAGGGTGATCCCACAGCCTGTGAATTGTTACAGCTCTGGGGAGAATACATCAGTGAAGATAGCTCAGGGCATTTTCCCTCCTCTCTGCAAAGGAGACCTCTCAGCAGTGTTCTGAGGTGGCAATAGAGGAGGGAAGCCAGCATTTCAGAAGGAAGGGTCTGTGTGTACAGGATGTAATCAGCGGGATCTCTCTGAATTCCCCCATGCTCGGTTCCGATTTATACATCCCGGTTGCCTGCTTGGTGTGTTAATGGCAGTGCGCGGCTGTGACTCTTGCTCTGCTCTTCACACTGGTGGCCCATCCATCCTTTGCTGCCACACTCAGATATGGCCAGTTGTTGCATGTCTCGCTCTTAGGTAATTTGTTTCCCTTTGACAAAAGTATTCATTTGAACCGGTCCCTCCCATTCTCTCTGCTTCCCATGACTTGTTAAAAGCAGACAGGTTTTGTATCAATCTCTGTGGCCGGTGCCCTCAGTGACTGTGTCAGCCATTCCATAGTACTTTCTGCTTGTAGAACACATTTGTCTCCCTTGATGACCATGAACTGGTCCAGGCAGTCCCTTCCTGGAAATATCCCACCACTGCTATTTTCTTCCATAAATCTCAGCTACTATTGAACAGTTAATATTTGCCAAAGGGAAACGGTAGCTTATATGTTTTATTATTCAACAAGACAATGGAATGGGGGCGTCAATAGGTTTTTATCGCTTATGCACGGCATTTGACCTTCCATTATGTTGACTTGCCTTTTGTGAGGTCTTGATAAATATGGGAGAGACCTGGGAGGTCCTTGCAGGGAAAGCTCTCTCCCTTTGGATGATCTGTACTTCAGCCAGCAAAATCCTTCCAAGCCACTTAGAGAAAGTTTCCATGCTGTATATTTTTAAATAATGCATTCCAGAAGTTCCTACTGCCTTAGATAGCAAAAAAGTACCACCTGGCCAACCTTCTCAAAACCCAGTGAGGTGTTGGGACTGTTTACCTTCTCAGAAAGTGATTTGTTTGATAACGAATGGACAGCTGTCAGCCAGTGAAGAGTCAACAAAGAGATAATCGCCAAGTGGGAATGTCCTGCTCCGAAGACAGATACCAGCAGATGCTGTGATTAGAATTATGTTTGAGAAGATTGCCAGAAAGAAAGAAAAATGTTAGTTTCTTGCTACCACTAAGAGGAATTCTATATGCTGTAATATTAAATCTGTTCCTATCAGGCCAGAACATAATGGATGTGTTCCTTTCCAATATTAAAAATATTAAAAAGTCAGGGAGGAGAGATAAATTTCATGTCATAGGGGCTTGGCATTTTATGAGTCACCCTCCGGAGTCTTGTCTTAATTATATTTTACTCTAGCCATGCAGACTTACCTCTGTTTTTTTAAAGTATTGGTTCATATTTCTATGGTCATAAATCGAATAGTATTATCATGGGACAGTGATGTTGATGATGATGTTGATGATGATGTTGACGATGATGAGGATGATGATTGTGATTGGGAACCAGCTCATTATTTTTCTGTCTGTTGGTTTTGTTTTGTAGCAGTATCCTTGGCTCTTGCTTTGAATGGAGTCTGCACAAACACTATTAAGTTGATAGTGGGAAGGTAAGTTGCAAAAAGAAACAAATGGCTTAGATTCTCAAGGTCATCTGTGGATTGGCACATGGGAAGCGATTCCTCTTCTCCATTTATCTTGCCTCTCTGTTGACTGCTCCAGCAGTGAGCTGGTCTCCATAGAGGTGAATGGTCGAAAGACCTGAATTTGAGGCCTGACTTCAGCCTTGACTAGCTGTTGGCCGTGGACAGGTTAGCTCCCCTCTCAGAACCTCAGCATTTACTGATTATCTACCTGGTGGAGGGTGCTGGCCAGGTAGCAAGAGGGCAGAAGGTGGATACAGATTGGGCCATGCATCACCTGGGGCTGTGGTATTCTTCCAACTTTCTGTTTAGAGTTGCTGTGAGGCCCCAATAAGATGCTGGTTCCCAGGCCTTGTCTGCTCTAAGGTTCTGGTTTAGTAGGTGAATAACTACATTTGGAGAACATTAGCCGATAAGGGGAGAGAGAGTACGCCAGCAGCTCTGATAGATTATTGATTCTGATTATTGATAGGTTATAGATATTGATAGACTATTATTGGGCCTAGATCCGAGAGCTGGGAAGATCAGGAAGTCAGCGTGACCCAATATGTGCAGAAAAGGGCCCTAGCGTTTATAGAACTAGCAGAGCCTTGCCCATGGCTGGCCTTCAGCAAATATTAGTTGAATTAATGGGAAATGATTGGCTATCACCCATCTGTGTAAAAATTCTCACCTGAGGGAGACAAAAAAACATGGGGTGAAGTGTGTTGGTGCAAGAATCCAATTGCTTGCTTTTGCCACTTACTGGTTGTATGTGACCTTGGGCAGGAGTATTACCTTTCTAAACCTTCATTTTTGCAACTGTAAGATGAAGGAAGTCCCGGGGATGGCATAAGAATCATACGTTATGATGCTCGTGCAGTGCCCAGCACTGTGCCTGGTCCCCAGGAAGGGCTCAGTCAATGCTGGCTGTGTCTGCGACAGGTGGCTTGACCTCAGGGGGCCAGCTTCCGCCCACTTCCTGTGAGGTCTGCCTCCCTTGATGTGGGCCAGAGAGGCCAGCCTGGATGGCCATGAGCTGTGCATCATGGAGCCGAGTTGTCGGGTCCTCCCTCTCAGTGAAGTTAGGTGAAGCCTGCTATTCAACGAGGGGCAATTGGCCATCCAAGTTCAAGATGTAGGGACGTGAGAAACCTGGAGTCTGGGGTCCTGAGAGCAGCCTCTGAATGGGAGTTGTGGATGGAGGCAGGAACCACCTTCTATTTCTCTGGCACTGTGCTTAGGGCCTCCTATCTAGTCATCTCCTCTAAACCTCACAACCTCACCTCTGGGTGGGTATCGATCCCCCCCTTTTACAGATGTGGAAACTGAGGCTGGGAGAGGCTACATAGCCTTCCCAAGGTCAGAAAACTAGTAAGTGGCCAAGCGGGAGTTCCAACTCAGAGCTTTCTGACCCTGAAGCCTGAGCTTCTCCCAAGACCCCCATGGTCCATGGGGAGCTCTGGTGTCAGTGACAGGAGGAGCTGGGGGCAGCAGGGAGTTGGGGGGGTCAGCTTGGGGTTCATTTGTGATGGCAGCATTTTATATTGAAAATGTCCATGGTGTCTTTTGTAGACCTCGCCCCGATTTCTTTTACCGCTGCTTTCCAGATGGAGTGATGAACTCGGAAATGCACTGCACGGGTGACCCCGACCTGGTGTCCGAGGGCCGCAAAAGCTTCCCCAGCATCCATTCCTCCTGTAAGTTCACAGTGGCTGGGACCCTCTTTAATTCTGGGTCGTGTTTCCTGACCACTTGCCTTGAGATTTTCGGTCGAGAGGAAAGTGCTGGGACGTGAATGTTGAGCACAGTTCATTCTTCTTCCCTGTAGGCTTAGAAACAAGAATTTGCCAGCAAGTAATAAGCCTGTGGATGAGGCTCTAGAGTTTACAAGACATTGTATGTGTTGCTTTTATGAGCTCAGCAGAGTGTGACATGTGACACTTTACCCTTTGGCAGTGCGATTCAGGAGCCTGACAGTGCAAGGGAATTTATCACGTTCTCGGGGACCTTAAGCTTTTCAGCTCTGTGTTCTTATCTAGCTCATTCTTTCGGTGACGGTATTGTGTGTGTACCAATCTATAGCCCATATATACACATATACAAATACATAAACACACACACACACACACACACACACACACCAATATATAGTCTGGTTATAGATATGCAAGCTGGGACCAGCCTTAAAGCCAACACTAAGTAATACGAATCAGGTGCAGGGCGGTGTAGTGCAGAGCACATAGGTCTTTGAAGTGTGACAAACCCTGGTTCAGTCAGGTATTAGCTCTGTGACTGACCCTCCCCTGCCTCAGTTCCCGCTGTGTAAAATGGGGATGATAATGCTTCCATGATTGGAGCGAGAGTTAAAATAAGTAATGATGATCGCTGTCATTTCTGGAGCAGCCACCATGACAAAATGTGTAGGTGTGTTATCTTATTGAATCCACTCAACGTATACGTGAAGTACTCAGTACGTGCGTTAAATCAACGGTACTCATCCGTATTATTGTTTGTAGCCAGAGCTGAGGTTCCAGAATACCCGGGCTCATTCCGGCAATGTTTACGGAATGACTAAGTGCCAGGCACTGTGCCAGGTGTGGGGGACACAAAGGTAAATAAGACACAGCTCATGTCCCGGGGAGTCCAGAGGCAGTGGCATGCTGTATATTTAGGTTGGTGATCCTGGGATCATTGGAGAAGCACTGTGGCCACCGGCGACCACTTGAGAGAGGCCACTCTTGTGACCCGAAGTCCTCGATTCCTTACAGGTCTGACGTTACTTGCCTTTGGCAGGTCTGTTACCTTAATCTTTCCTGTTTTCTCTAAGTACTTAAGACTGAGTACTTCTCCCTGATAGTGGCTGGATCAAGGAGTAACTATCCTGAGGTGCTTGTGGACATTTTGCTCAGAGCCCTTAGAGGCGAGAGCCCTGTCAACAAGATATTGGGGTTCCAGACACTCTAAGTGAGTTGCTGTTAACCTGTACAGTGGCCCCCCCACCCCAGGTCGGGTTATCCCCATTTTATGCATGAGGACAGTGAAGCTCAGACAGACTCAGTAACTTGTTCAAGAACCCTTCGTTGACCTTCATGCCAGCCTCTGACTCCATAGTGTCTCAGGGCTTTCAGTGTTTAAATACAATGAAGATTTATGTATGTATGTATGTATGTATGTATGTATGTATGTATGTTTGTATTTATTTATGTATTTGGCGTAAATGAGTGAGGGACAGAGAGTCAGAGAGAGGGAGAGGGAGAGGGAGAGAGAGAGAGAGAGAGAGAGAGAAGAGGGGCTCACCAAAAGTGGGGCTTGAGCTCATCCAATGGGGAACATGAACTCAGGAACCACGAGATCATGACCTGAGCCGAAGTCAGATGCTTCACCGACTGAGCCACTCAGATGCCCTCCATGTTCATTTAGATAAATAACTCGTACTCTTGTCTGGTTTGTTGGAGACTATAGTGGGTTGAATAATGTTCCCCCAGAAGATATGTCCAAGTCTTAGCCCACAGAACCTGTGAACATGACCTTATTTGGAAAATAGTCTTAGCAGAGGTAATTAAGGATCTGGAGATGGGCTCATCCTGCATTTAGGGTGGCCCTAAGTCCAATGACAAATGTTCCCATTAGAGAAAGAGGAATATTTGAGACACAGAGACACAGGTGAGAAGGCCATGTAAAGTTGGGGGCAGAGATCAGAGTGACACAGGGAGCCACCTGGAGCCACCAAATGCTGGAGAAGGCAAGGGAGGATCCTCTCCCGGAGGCTTCGTGGGGAGCATGACCCTGCCACACCTGGATTTCAGACTTTTGGGCTCCAGAATGTGAGAGAACACATTGCTGTTGTCGTTAGCCATCAGGCTGGTGGTCATCGGTAAGGGCAGCCCTGGGAAAAGAATACAGAGGCTGAGACTGAACACTTACCAGTTAATGGAAGGGGTTTGGCTCTAGAGTCTCGGGGGACATTGAGGGAAAACGCTTACTGAGTGTGCTTCCCTAGAATGCCCATAGTGAGGGCCCCGTGGTGCATGAAGGTGGAGGGCCCGAGCTTCTCTGAGGCTACTTAAGGCAAAATATCCATTTGTAATCACTTCCCGCTCTGAGTTTATTTGTCCTTCTGAAGTCTCATTTTTTTTTATGTTTATTTGAGAGAGAGAGAGACACAGAGAGAGAGACAGAGAGACAGAGCATGAGTTGGGGAGGGGCAGAGAGAGAGGGAGACACAGAATGTGAAGCAGGCTCCAGGCTCCAAGCTGTTAGCACAGAGCCCAACGTGGGGCTCGAACTCACGAACCGTGAGATTATGACCTGAGCTGAAGTCAGGCGCTTAACTGACTGAGCCTCCCAGGCGCTCCCTCTGAAGTCTCATTTTAAGTGAGCGTCTGTTTTGGAGGACTTGTGGTGCCAGTGGAGGAATGCCCCACCGCACGGTTACCGTCTGCTCATCATCTGGCATTCTGATGCCAGCCACTGTGTACAGGGCCCCGGAACAGCATGCACCTGGGCTTGACCCCTGTCTGCTCTCCATCTCTGTCCCTGTAGTGTCACTCAAGTTCTCTATTGTTTTAGGGCATGTTCTGTCCTCCCAAAGACTTGGTGCTGAGCTTTAAGGGGCTTCCAATGCTAAAAGCAGAAAGAAGTGAACCCCTGTGGGAAAACCTGAACCCTGGCTTTCCAATGGTTGACCAAGGACAGCGGCACAATTTAGTATCCCGTGTTGCATTTGACCTTGGGAAGGAAATAGCTCTGGGTGTGAAGAAATCAACCCAGAAGACCGCTGGTCCTCGAGAGTGGGGGCCAGGCCCCACAAAAGTGCTCGTTTTAGAAGCACACCTTTCCTATCAGATGCATTTGCTGACAGAGCTGTCCGCCAGGTGCCCTGTCAAATGCATGGCTGATGTTGCATCTGTGGGAGACCATCTTTTTGACAGAGGCTGTTACTATCTTTTGCTTAAGACACTACTTAAAAAGTTACAGGTTTTTACTACTTGGCAGACACAGAATCCTACCCTGTGTCTAGGCGTTGATGATAGTATTTTTATCTGCTCTCTTTCTTTGTTGTGACAGGTCAGTGATTGCCTTACAGGGAACTGCCACATCCACTTAGAAAAACCATCAGTGCTGTTCTTTGGATTTCTTACTGTGGCTAACAGGAAGCCTCGTGGTTGGCATGACTCTTGGTTTTCAGAGGAGGTGCTGGGCCTCAGTGGGGTGATGTTAGTGGACCCCAGTTGTGACAGACACACTCCTTCTCCCTTCAGTAAAATCAACTTTGTAGGTTGCACTAGAGTGAGTAGACACAGGCGTTCTGGAGCATGGGATCTCCTGAGATGAATTTTCCAGGCTAGGTAACCATGGCTTTGCTTCTGCTCTGTTTATAGATAATCAGTGACTAGAAGGTGGTCGATGTCCACATATCATCCCGCAGGAGAGTTGGTTTTCTTCGAACATAAGAGCAAACGGTTTCTTTTGGAAATAAAAGATCTTGTTCCCAATTTACCATAAACAAGTCAGTGCTCCGCTGAAGTGCTCGGCTGGCAAACAGCATGTCCCACGGCAGCCTTCGTATGGGACTCGCTCCGTAAGGCAGCCCGGGCCACCCTTCTGGGCAAAACAGAGATCACAGTTTCAAAGAGCAAGTGTTCCCTCCAGAGTTACCAGAAATTTGGGATTTAAAGCAGAGAAAGGCAAGGGAGCTTCAAAGCAGGGATATTCTGAAAAGGGAATTGTCTTTCACTGCAGTCTCTGCTTCTGACCGGGTATGGTTTCAGGGTTCGGTTTCAGACAGAAAATAGAAGTAAATTATTAATGCCACGTGAAGCTATTAAGAAACTTCTTGTAAAAATGGTGAGAATTTATCAAGTGACATGGTTGTCAGGCTGTCAGCAAACAACAGCCCGTGGGCCAAATCCAGTGCCTGCTTGTTTCTGTAAATAAAGTTTTATTGGAACGCAGGGATGCCCATTTGTTTATATATTGTCTATGGAGGTCTTCACATTCTAATGGCTGAGTTGTACAGTTGCAAGGGAGACATGGCCCAGAAAACTGAAAACCTGTTGCTTATTCTCCAAACAAATAGTTTGAAAAAGCATTACCATGAGGGCTGGGGTTGGGCGGGGATAAATAGGGAGAGAATAGAGGAGTTTGGGGGCAGTGAAACCTACTCTCTATGATACTTGAATAGTGGATATGTATCATTGTGCATTTGTCAAAACTCATAGAACGCACAACAGCAAGAGTGATCCCTAATGTGAACTGTGGACTTCGGGTGATTTGTCCGTGTAGGTCCATCAGTTGGAACAGATGACGGGGGATGTTGATAGTGAGGGGGCCTGTGCGTGTGTGGGGGTGGGGGTCCTGTGGGAAGTCTCTGTGTACCTTCTTCATTTTGCTGTGAACCTAAAACTGCTCTAAGAAACTTAAATTAAAAAAAAATTACTAAAACAAGTCCAGGGCACTGTAATTGTGCACACAGATGTTTCAGTTTTTAACCAACTATTTCATTTTTTAAAGGGGGCATTTATAGGATAATCGGTGCTTGTGGGATACAGTTCTTTACATGACAGACAAGATTCAAAAGGTGTATTTGGCTGATGGTCTTTTAACAGATTCTTCTTGAGCACTGACTGTTTTGTAGGTACTGGGTTAGCTCCTGGGGAGGGTACAGGATGGTCAGACGTGGTGGTGTCTTCTTTAG